CCCCCCCCCTCTCTCTCTCTCTCTCATAGTTGCACTAACGAATTGCTTTCAATCTTGTTGAGCAGAAATGAAGGTCATCGCTGCGTATTTGCTGGCTGTTTTGGGAGGGAACGCCAGCCCTTCCGCCGATGACTTGAAGGACATACTCGGATCAGGTACTATGTTTATTTTTCGCTGTCGTTTTTTTTTTTTTTCTATTCGTATTGTTAAAGCATGATTTATGACCAGAGGTCCCTTTTAATTGCAGTGTTTATATTCCTTATTTTTTTCCCGTTGATTTCTGTCACATTCTGAACGCGTATAAGTTGTCTGTGTTGGTTGATTGTAAGGCCTGAAAGATTGTTTCTTTCCATGTGTTCTTTGCTTTTCGGAATTTGCGGGTTATGTTCGTTTGAGTTCAACATTGTTACATATTGCTCCATTCCAGGGATTTCTTTGTTTGCGTTTCGGCCCGTGTATTACATTTTTGGTCATTGTGTTACCATACAGTAAAGACAATTAATCCTCTGCGTCTCGTCATCCTGACGTTTTGGATGGTATTCGTAGCCTATATACTATAAAGAGTTTATTGGTTAGTTACGAACTTTGGTGTCATGGAGTGTTGATCCATGACTCTGGACGAGTGTATGGTATTGGGAGAAGGCTCAGTTCAGTCTTGAGAGAGATGGGGCGCCTTAGGCCGAGCGCTTCCCCCTTGAGAGATGGGGTGGCGTGGTATTCCACGGGAGAGGTTTCAAAAAATCGTGGCGCACTATGAGTGCGATAGGCGCATATTACCAATTGGGCTTCCATGGCCGCTTTGCTGCTCTGATATTGCTAGCAGAGCGAGGGTATTGCCCGACATTTTTTTTTCTATCAACTTTTTCTTTGTTACACGTGGATGTCAAAAAAGGGAACAATTCAGCCTATGGTACCTTAGGCTGCCCGTAGTTTATTTTAAGAATGTTGGTTGGGAGCGCGTCTGGGCAATTCTTAAATCATATCAAGATGTTCAATGTATATTCTCCATAAGATTTTATGATTTAGATGGTGTCGTTTACTTGGTTGTAGAATTGGCATTCCTCCCTTTCCTGCAGCACAGTCTGAAATGTAATTGTTTTATCTAAATGTTAGGTTTTCTTAGTTGATATTCCCTGGATTGGGTAGATTTGGTGTGAGTTGAGCTACAATATGCCCATTTAATCAGGCAACCTAAGTGAGCGTGATCCAACCATACCAACACCTGGCCAAAGACCCATTTAGCATATGGGGGGGAGTGAGCGATTGATGCAATCCTTCTCATTTACAGTTCATGGGTACTCTTTACCCAATCCTAAGTTCCCAACCCTTTTAAATTGACCTGTTATTTGATTCAACTCATTTCTGACCTGTGAATAGGCTGGGTCATAAATTGTCACCCTTAGATGCAGCCTATATTTATGTGTATTTAGTTTGTCAAATCTTTCTTAGATGGCTTCTATGAGTTGTGACTTGGAAATTCTGAGACTGGTTTCTGAGCATTTTTCCACATGATTTTACACAAAAAAAATTTATTGAGGAAATTGTCTAATTTTGCAGTGGGGGCTGAAGCTGATGATGATAGGATTGAACTCCTCTTGTCTGAAGTCAAGGGTAAGGATATTACAGAGCTTATTGCATCTGGGAGGGAGAAATTGGCGTCAGTTCCTTCTGGTGGTGGTGCTGCCATTGCTGTAGCTGCTGGTGGTGGTGGAGCTGCTGCTGCCGCTCCTGCAGCAGCTGAACCAAAGAAAGAGGAGAAAGTGGAGGAAAAGGAAGAGTCTGACGAGGTGCTCTTCTTGGATGAACCTAAGCTTTTTTATAGGGATTTTCTCATTTGGCTTTCCAATTTATTATTTTCTCTATTGTGACTAAATTTTTTTCCTAGATTTTTATGACTGACCTTTTCTTTTGTTGAACTCGTGGCAGGACATGGGCTTCAGTCTCTTCGACTAATGGACTAGGCAGCTAGCTACTCTCTTGTACTAAACTTTTTCTTCTCATTTAGTGCTAAGGTTTTTGGTCTGCAAAGATGATGTGCTTCTTGATTTTGTGGAGACTTTTCAGCTTATTGTTAGTAGAAAAGAGATAAGAGGGAGTCACAAACATAGCCGGATTATTAATATTCAATCCAGTATTATTTGAATCCATTTACTTGATATTCAGTGACGTGTCCTGTTGGAAAGGGTGGTATTGCAGATACATATGTAATTCATTTGTCGCTGCGTTTTATTTGACTTTGTCATAGGTTTTGTTTTGGTCAGTTGAATTTACGTCTGAAATTAAAGAACCCCAGAATTCCCTATACCTCAGTCTTCTGACGACTTTATGATTTACAGAAAGCCTCAACAGTTGCATTTAAATTCTGGTTTAAATCAATATGAAGTGGCTTTGGGTGAAAAAGTCATTTACTTCAAATCTCAAAGAACATCCCAACAGACATTCGAAATTGATAGCTCTTGGCATTCCGATCCCAATTGCAAATAGAAAAATGTTTAGGGGCTCTTAGTGCTAAGAGTATAGCTGATAAATATTGATAAATCAAACCTAAGGAGTATCTTGGATAGAATAGAAGATGGATTAAAAGGCTAGAAGATGAACACCCTACAGGATATAAACAAGGTTTTATGAGAAGATGCGTGAAAGACCCCCATTGTGCCTTGACCAAGGAAGAAGGGATAGTCCTAAAGAAATCAAGGTTATATGAGAGGATGGGAGATAGACCCCCATTGTGCCTTATGCGGTCATCAACATGTCGAGGACACAGACCGTTTATTCCTTTATTATCCTTTGGTAAAGCAGGTTTGGCCTTATGTTGACCGATCCCCTTTGGACTTTCGGAAGGTGAAAGTATTAAGTTGCTTCAATAGAATCAAGAATCTATTAAATGCTAAAGCTCTTGGAGTAAAGGTAGCTTTCTTTATATGGAATTTATGGACCCATAGAAGCAAAGCAATATTTGAAAACGTATCTATGAACCTAGCCACGCTAATTGAGCTGCAGTAGAGCTTGATGAATACTCAGATGCAAATAACCCCTAGTGTGACACTGTTGACCCAAGCAAGCAACAAAACTCTAAACCGCGTAAGGTGGGTCTTCCCAAACATAAGCTAAATCAAATTAAATTTCGATCCTTCTTGTGGAGGGGACGATAGTGCAGCGATTGGTTGTAGGGATGCTCATAAAAAAACCAAATTGAACAAAAAAATGTGGTTAACTGACTGGTATATATATTTAATATATATATATATATATCATATATTATATTATTATCTATATATTATATATAAAATATATGTATATACACATGCATATAAATAAATAAATATATAATTATCTATTGGTTTACCGGTATTTGGAGAATTACAAAAAACTGATGGTACTGGTTTGATTTTATAAAAAAGCCCACAGTTCTATTAACCTAATCATGAACACCCCTAAATAGTTAGGTAGCGAGGGACTACAAAAGCAACATCATCAGAAAGAAGATAAGTAGTGCATTATCTCAGTTGTGGAGGTGCAGGCGGCTAATGAAGTGGTTGAAGTAAGATTAATAATCATCTCGTAGGGGATTCCCTCTTAACAGTTGAATGCCTCAACGGCAAGAAGAACCCACCATTACAATTTTATTTGTACTAAATTCAAACAACTTTCTCCTTCCATCTGTTCTCCCATTCTCTTTCCCTGTTTCCTCATCGAAAGAAGAAGAGGAATATCTCCAACAAATAATGACACAAAAGAGTGTAAGAGGGTAAAATAGGAATTTAATTTTTTAAGAGTTCAAGGTATGTTTAAGTCCAGTGGGGTCAACTATAAGGAATCTTTAAGTATATCTAAATCCTCAGGGTATGTTTAAGTCAATTTTTGAAAATTGAGCGTATGTTTTCAAGTCGATTTTTGAAAACTGAGCACCATCCTTCCACATGAATGTGTTTGGTTAAACGGTTGGGAAAGGTAGGCCCTTGTGAGTTGTGACCACATAACCCCCTTTATTCGCATGCGTTTCCCAAGGATTAGGCATCCTCGTGAATTGTGACCATGGGGATGATTCAAAAGAGGCCAGATATAGATGGCCCGTCTCGACACACCATCTCTCTCCAAGCAGCTGAATTATCCGAGGTCACCTATGGAATATATTTAGGCCAAAATAAGGCAACCCTTTATTCTAAAACCCAAGGGAGGTTATCAACTATGCATTGCCCGTTAATGAACAATTTGAACCTGAATTTCATCTGCATAATATCAGACCTCGGGCTCAGGTCTCTGCCCGAGCTCCTGCCTATCCACACCAAATACTGAGCTAACTTGGCCATGCAGTCATGCAAGCTGGAAACTAATACACACAACAAAAAATTGATAATCCATCTCATCCCAAATTCTTTGCATCAGTGCTTAACGAAGCCACTGAGGAACAAACTAAAGGTTTTTCATATCAGAAGATAATTCTGCAAACCAAACTCTATCCATATATCAGTACAATCAATCCGCAGTAGAACAGAAATACCAAGAGTAGATGATAAAGCATATTGCATGCACTCTAGATTCGAGGATTCTCAAATTTTACATGCAAATGTGAGACCTTCTTTTGTCAGTTGATCCAGACTCTCAACTGGAGTCTGAATCCTTGCGACTTTAGCAATGGCCTTGTTTTCATCAGGTGTCCCACTCTCCAGGAATGCCCCCACTATCTTGCCGTCCTTGATCCAATATGATCCAAACTTCGGTTTGGGTGATGCTGGATCACTATCTCCAAATAGCACTGTATCTCCAACATTGTCTCCATAGAACTGCCATGAAAGATCAAAGGAGCGAGAATAGAAATATGGAAGGTAGTCATACTCATCGATGGTCTTTCCTTCCTCACTAGCTTTGATAGCCTGCATGGATAAAAAATCAAGGAAACATTATTATTTGATCCATGAATATGCATGCTTACAAGTGTTTCAATATAGTATTTAGAAGCAAAGCATCTATGAAATGACAATAAAATGAAAACATTTAAAGTCAACTATAGTAAGAGATACCACAAATTATTTTTGTAGAAAGAGCACTGATTTGCAGAAACACACCTTCACAGCCTGCTCTGCTGATTTCCTGGCGTGATCAACATGCTCTACTCTCCGCATCTCATTGTACAACTTCATAGGGAAGGTAGCAACGTCACCTACAGCATACACATCGGGAACATTTGTTCTGAAAAATCCATCGGTCTGCAATCAAACAGGTCACATCATAAAATGTACATTGTAAAAATATAAGCTATAACATGACAGGATTATTTGAGTTTGATGCAGCATATTTACTTGCAAACAAGGGCATATCAATCCTTCAATGCTGAAAAGCATATACCAACATCATTTTCAACAAAAATGTAGGCAGTGTTTTAAAAGTGCAAAGCACAAGAAAAGTAGAAGGGCCTTTTAAGTTTTAACGCCTGAGGTGCAAGGTGTAAGGCGACACACTTTTTGAAATACCCATATGGTGTACGTTATTATCTTTGAGATTAGCATGTTTCTGGCCATTCATTCATCACTATAACATGTAGAGGAGGGATGCTACAGTGCATATGATGATCAGAATTGGGGCAAAGCCCCTTTTAACCAAAATTGGATGGTCTTTCCATTTTGGGCTGATAAAAATTGTAGATTGAGTCATGGTTACCAAAATCCCAAATAAATCCAAGTGCCAGGATCATGAAAATAATGCATTCAGTGAAGTTTGTCATCCAAGCACCATGCTCACAATCCCCTCGTAGAAAAGTGATACTAGTTAGAGAGACCACAAAAAGCATTACCAAGCCCTCTTCTAGAAGGTGAGAGCAAGTAAAACATCTCTGCTATACTTCAAAATCATAACAGGCACAATATACTGATACACAGAATCACATATTCGGGGTGGCACAGGGTGGTGAAGGCCTTAAAAAAGAATAGGCATGAAACTTTTTCATGCATTATGTGCTAGGTACAAATATTTTGTACCATTCAACAGAAACAAGAGGGAGTCAGGAAGCTTTACAGAGACAAGAAAACATGCATTTAGCAGACTCTGGATCTGTGACAAACATTACCCACAAGACACAATAGCCATACATCAGGGACATCTCCCCATGAATATACAAGTATTGGAGATGTTCTTGATGTGTGGCTGCAGTGTCTTGTGGCTAGGTGTGGGTAGCAGATCCAAGCTCCATTTAGTGTTGGGGACCACTCACTAGTGTTCTGCCAATTTAGGTACAGGACAAGGCTGCCAGGTCCATTAACAAATTCGCTGGGGAGAAGTGATGTGGATTTCAGGGTTCCAGCTGATATTATCATGGCAGAGTCTTTAAAAGATTCCTAGGCCAGAATTGCATGGATAGGAACTGATCATTTGCAAATGAACCATACCTCATGTGAACCAAAAGAAGGGGAACAAAATAGCAAGAAACTCATGTGGTTTCTTTTACTAGGTGATTACATGGCTTATGCCTTTTGAAAGATGGTTTTTTTTTTTATTAGTACCTTTTGAAAGACAAACAAATAAGGAAATTGGTAGTTAAATGAAACGAAAATGAATTTACTTATCTGCACCTTTTTTTTTCTCCCTTTATTGTTGTATTACACCTGTTTTTTCAGAAAAAAAGTTCCCTCATTACTTTCGCCCTTTCTCTGTTTTTAAAGTTTGTCTTGCCTTTTGTCTATTTAGCATGCAGACATCATATTGGATGTCCCTCGCAATTTTCCAAGGTGTGCTTCACATAACAAATTGATCATTTCAATTAACAGATCATGTTCAGAATGAGGCATTCACTTTAAGAATTTAAAGAAAAGAAGAAATATGAAAGATTGTAAACCATGCCATGAGATAATGCTGCAAATATCTCATATAATTTCGCTTATTATCTGTTTGGGGTTGTAGAATTGATGCATTCAAGTGCTTCAACTATTAAGATATTCTAGTCAAAAGGATAAAAAAAGAAAGGAGAGGAAAAAAAAAAGAATGGATAAATACAACGCAGAATCATAACCAAAGGTTTTTGTGCAACAAGTTGGAGAACATGCATAGAGTAAAGGTGCAAAGAACAAATTAATTCCATCTTTAAGAACAAATACAGAAATGAGGAGGTTAGAAGCAATACCAACCTTAATTCCACCTTTCTCTTCCTCAACCTGGCCCTTAAATAGTTTTGTAAGTGGTCTTCCACCAACACCAACAACAACAATGTCAGCGTCCAGTACTCTTCCATCCTTCAGTTTTACTGCCTTTACCTAAACAATAGGAAAGAATTAACCATATAAAACACTGAATGGTTAATTTGGATTTCATTAAAAACAAGTAAGTGGATGCGTTTCTCAACTTACCTCTCCATTTGCATCAGAATCAAAGCCAACTGCAACTGTTCCCTTGATAATCTTGACTCCCTTCTTGGCATAGTAGCCCTCATAAAAAGCAGCTATACCAGCAGTGAAAAGCCGTGGCACTGCAAATATATGCCATATGTTAGAAGATACAAGAATTTTTTATAAATATTGAACAGTAACAACACAACATAAGAAATTCATATAATTTCTTTTATATTTCAAAAACCAAAATGTTAATTTCCCTGAAATCTTGGGAAGCATGAAGTAGCTAGATGTTCTTGATAAAGGCTTAAGGGCAGTTAAAACTTACTGCACCATGGTTCAGGGTAGACCATTGTGACATCAAAATTATTGATTTTCATCACAGCACTAAGCTCAAGACCAATGTACCCTCCTCCAACAATTACGGCTTTTCCATTCTTCTTTGCCTTGATGGCCTCTACAAGCTTGTCGGCATCATCAATTTCTCTCAAATAGAAGATGTTCTTCGAATCAGCTCCTTGAACACCAAAGTCACTTAACCTTATGACCTGCATAGGAGCACAAAGAATTTGATTTGCATGGGGGGCAAGTTATAAAATTGTGGACATTTCCAAACACATCTTGCAACCTAAAAATGAATGAATGATGAACAAAAGCATGCATGATGAGACATTTGATGCTTACTGTTGAACCAGTTGCAATGATCAAAATATCATATTTAAAGCTTGCTCCAGATGCACTTGTGAGAGTCTTGGAAGCAAGATCCGCTTTCACTATTTCAGTGTTAAGAATCAACTCTATGCCTGCAAATGTGACATTCCATATTAAATAATCCAGTTGTGTAACAAGGAAAATCTTCGTATAAATATCAACAGAATCAAGAATTACCTTTCTCAGCATACCATTCAGGAGGAAGTCTCTCGCCACCACTCCCAACACAGACATGAAACCCTGGGAGTCTTGCCGCTCCTGCAAAATCTCACTGTGAGCTTAGCCATGCAGAAGAAATGGTTGCACAGAATAAAGAGATGAAACAAAAGCTGCTTTAAGTCCAATAGGAGATGGAATTAACGTGTAGACTCAGAACTCAGAAGTTAGTCAAACATCACATTTCATAAATTCTAGCTTCAACAGGAAATACAAAGAATACCACTTTAATATGAAAATAGGAACACTTTGCAAGAAAAAAAAGGACAGAGAACAGAGCAAAGTCATAACTGTAAAAAAGGCACAAAATTAATTTTTGATATTACTAAAATATAATATCCATACCATAAAGAACTGATATAATCCATATAATAATTGATCTTAACAACCTGATTTTACATTGGATTGCATGACTGCAATGAGTTTTTGAAAAATCCAGAGGACATCGTTACAAAAGCCTGATTAAATTTGACTTCCCTCTGGTTATCTGTATAAGATGAATAACTTACCCTCAGGAAAAAGGTATGCCTTACTGAGTGCTGGACGTTCATAAGGAGCCACCTGGAAAAAGGGAAGAACTAGTATATTAGTCTTAGTGCAAAAGAAACTCACAGTCTTACAATGTACAAGGCGCTGACTGAAATTTGTGCAGTATCTTATCATCTCTCTATTACTAAAAGAACAATATCAATGTAAACCATAAGCACCATTAAAATAAGTGGTATATCCTTCAATTGAGGGAGCAACATTGGATCATCATTACAACCTAAGAATTTGTGAAAGCAAGGTTCAAAATTTTGATATGTTATGCCCCGCATTGGGCGTATCATATTGTATAGGTGGCTTAACAATACGCCCCTATAGGGGTCTTATTGGGGTCTGACCTGGTTCAGGGGCTAGACCAACCTTAAACCGATCCTTCTGAACCCGTTTCGAAGAAAAAGAAGGGGAGGGGGGAGCGAGCTTCGATACAGGCCGATATGCCCCTACCGGCATATTGGCCAGTACCGATATTTTAAACCTTGAGCGGAAGGCTTATACTTGTCTTGGAGAGTACTATATATTCCCTTCATAACTCTTTTGCCATTCTCTCTAGTAGGGCAGCATTCTCCAATAAAAAAAGGACTAAAGGAGATCTACCCAAAAGTAATATGGGAAGACTAAAGGCTCTATCTGCTAAATCTTTGTTTGGTAACTTTGGTCAATTTATGCAGAGTAGAAAATCACAAAATGAGCTGTGAACCATTCAACATGTCTAAATGAAAAGGATGATGATCATCATGAGAAAGCAAATACAGTATCTTCCAGAAAATAGATGCATGCTTTTGTTTTTCGAACATTTTCTGCATTCCTAGAAATATACAATTCAAAGTAGGCAACGGTTTTGCAAATTCTAGTTTATACAGAATTCTCCTTCTAAGCAATGTCTCTTTCTCATATTACTCAAACAACTGGGAACCACCAATTTTTGGTAATCAAATACTCCCATCCGACAAAGATCAGAATTTAATTCAACAATCCAGCTGAAGTTCAAAGTTCTAACATCTAAAGGAGAGAAAAAGGCGAATAAATATAAAACATACCGCCTCTTTGGAAATAATTGCCAGCTCGCCAGGCTTAACACCCTGTTTAGCGAACTCCCTTGCAGCATATCCCTGTGAAGGCATAAATAAAGAGTGAGACAGTTAAATAGTATTAAAACCAAGCAAAGAATATATCACCACCGAGTCTTATTTCTTCATTTTACAGATAATTATCCTACCAGCGCATGGGCCCTTTTCTACAGCATAACAGCAACCTTCAACTGATTCTAAAGATGATTAGATAGGAGGATCATATCTGTGATAGCTGTGCTAGTGTTAAAAACTAGGATTTTCTTCCCTTTTTGCACATTACCATCTAAAATTAATAGTTTGTTCTTAATTTATGAAAAAAAATCTCTTTAACACACTAATGGTAAAGACATTTGTTACAGTTCTCTTCAAAGCTCAAAGTACTTAAAAAAGCTTAAGAAACCCGAATAATGATGTATTAATTCTATATAATCTTCTAATTTTCAGAAAGCAATACGAGAAACAAATAGCATTGTTGCTAATTCCCCAATTCCAAAACGATCACGCAGGCATAACAGGATTGAGGAAAAATCGAAGGAAAATAATGAAAAGCAGATCTGCTAATACCAAAACAAAAAATACATACACAGTCTAGATCAATTTCCTAGATCGCAAAGACAAAATTAGAATCAGAAATGATAAAAGAAAAAAAGTCAATGAGCAACCAAAATTAGAAAGAAAAGGTGCCCAAATGAAGTCGGAGATGAAAGAGAGAAGTGCTGATATGAACTCACAGCTGCGACACCACCACCTAAAACCACGTATTTGAAATGCTTTTCCGCCATGGATCAACTCCAAAGAATCTATAGATCAGATAAAAGAGAGAGAGAGAGACGAGCTTCTTCACTGTTCGCACAGTATCCCCAAATGAGTTGGTGTGAGTTTATATAAAGATTGGTCAGATATTTTTTATATAAAGATTGGTCCTCTCTGGGGAAGAGCTATTCGCCGTTCATTTTGGGAAAATGTTGGAATTCAACGATTCGCATAGACTTAGCCACGTGGCAACCGACAAGCCGTCAACCATCTCTGATTGTACATTTGACTCAGACACAAGCCGATCGTGATCAGCAGAGGTTGGAGTTTCTAGATGTACAGGATTTGGATTTACAGAAAGGGCCCGACATGAGGGAGCGCTTTGTTATTGGAAAATGTTCAAGAAATTACCCAACCTATTATGGTATCGGTTCCATCTGGTACCAATCTGGTGAGTGGTGGATAAAGATAGCCCCCTTGTGTGGGTCCATCGCAAGGAATTGATTTAGTACTATGAACACTCATTAGCAAGGAATCCACATTTTGACAATCCAGCGAGAAAAGAGACCTCATGAACCGGAAAACCGGAACCACGTTAGCGTTTATCTACTTTAGAAGATTCTAGACGAGAGAGGAGAGGAGAGAAGAGAGAAAAAACAGGTCAATTTATTTGGGCGGAACGGGTCGGGTCCCAAGAACTGTACGGAACACTGGCGTGTTCACATGTGATTGGTCAAATAGCCTGTTTTACATTGTTAGGAGCAAATCCCGATTCGTACGTTGGCCTGTGTTGCAGCTGATCCGGGTCGGGCAAAGCATTTTGACGTAAAAGGTGATGTGGATCCTAAGTTCTACTTCAGCAGCACATGTAACAGCAACAAGTGTATTAATCTGGAAAAAAGATGAGTAGCCAATATAAAGCCGAGTTCATATCGTCTACAGTTCTACTCGTAAAACTAAGCCAGTCATGATAAAACACGTCATCTCTCCCATACCAGACTCGTTTTTGTCGGAAGAAAAATGATGACGTCATCCATAACGGCAGCAATGCGCTCGTTAGTGCTACGCGGCGTGGCCCTGAATCTATCGTGCGCTGTGGGTCCCATCTCGCCTGAAGTGCACAAGACCATTGGGCGACTGGTTTAGCCGGTGCTATTTGGTGGGGACCGGTTGCATCTGGACGGGGATTTGGGATTTGGGACCGTGGGACCCGGGACGCCATAGTACATCAGTAGAAAAATAGTTTAATACATCAGAACATGGCCAACCTGGTGGTGTACTCCACCAGACTAGACTTTTATAGGACCAAAATATTTAGATTGTTGGATTATCATGTGGGCAGTTCCATTCATAGGGCTGCAAGTTGGGCAGGTTAAGTCGGGTTGAGGCCAACCCCGACCCAATGTGGATTCTCCAACCTCCAAACCTAATTCAACCTGAAGTTTTTGACTTGGATTCATGGTTTTGTTTTGGATTCGTTGCCGATTTTTTTTTTTTCGAAATCAAGGGTGGGGGTAAATTCAGTTTTGGTATTACTATATACAAAATGACTTAATACATAAAGTTTCGTTTATTGAATTAACATAAAATATGGAAATAAATTATTACAAAATGACTGTTGATACTAATGTTCTTTGAGTTTTCTTGATTTTATGAGCAATAAAATTGTGTTTGGTTTAAAGGAAAAAAGTAGAGAAAGGTAGGAAAACCTTGTATAGGTAGGTTTCCCTACCTTTTTCCTTCAAATCAAACATAACTTAAATGCTTGAAAACAGTGAAGATGAAGGTCATGGGTGCGATTCTAATGCTTTTGAAAGTATTGATACTGTGTTTTCCACTTTGGTCTTTGCGTTTGATCGATTGTGAAGAATGCTTATAAAAAAAGTGTCTATCTTGATGACTTAATCTTCTTTGAGAGCTTGAATCCAATGTGAAGTAGATGAAACTGAGAATTATTTCTCTTTCTTTTCTCTCTTGAATTTGAAGTGGAGTTAGAATAGACTTGTAAGTATTGTCGATTGCATTCATTTTTTATGAACACCCTTAATGTCTACTTAGACTTGTGCCCTAGGCCTATGAATGCCCATATTAACTCTAGAGGTTGCCAATTGCCATGCAAATCAAGAACATTTCTTTGTTTATGGTTGTGTTTGGCATTCCTTGTTTAAGGACTTATCTCCTTTTTTGGTTAGAATAAGGAGAAAAGTTCGATATCATTTGTTTGGTAAATACACTGTAATCCTCCTTCTGAAAAAGGAGAAAATCATAGATTAGGAAAAGGATTGAATTAACTTATTTGGACCTGCATTATTTTCATAAAATTTATTATCTTTTTTAACCTTATTGTTTTTTAAATTTACATTAAATACTCCTTTATTAAAGGATGGGGCATTGGTTCATCACTACTTTATTCAATTGGGTTGTGAAGTAGATGAGACAAAAAATTAATTTTCTTTCTTTTCTCTTGAAGTGGAGTTAGAGTAGAGTTGTAAGTATTGTTGATTGCAATTCACAAGTGTTGGTAAGATTAAAAAGAGCTCTCTAAGTTTATAGGTGAGATTGAAAACGGAGACCTTCCTAGGCACCACTACTTATAGCCTAGAATTAGGGTTGCCATCTCAACCCACTTGCTAGCTAATCTCATGTAAGTGGGATGCTGGTTAGGGTTTACTCCAATACATGCTCCATTATGTAGGAGTTAGTGGTTTTGCCAATGGACCCATTTTATTATAATAGGATATAGGCCTAATTATCATGTCTACTAGGGGTTAATTGAATTGTGGGTTCTTTTTCCAAACTGAATTGTCTTTTTGTTTTTTTTTTCTTAGAACCAAAAACCAAAACCAAACTAAAACTACTCAGTTAATCGGATGACCGGTTTGGTTCTTTGCTTATTTATTTATCTATCATGTTTTGTACATGAAACTCTTTCATCTTTTGATTGAAAGAAGGCAGTGAATGAAGAATTTCATGCTCTTGAATCCAACAATACTTGGGATCTTACTTCCTTACCTCCTGGGAAGTAGATMGTTTGTTGGGTATGTTGCTTATCTATTGTAGTGAATGAAGAATTTCATGCTCTTGAATCCAACAATACTTGGGATCTTACTTCCTTACCTCCTGGGAAGTAGATGGTTTGTTGGGTATGTTGCTTATCTATTGTATTTGGTTTTTTCCTTACCTCTCATCTCAAATTATTGCTAAGGGATATACATAAACTTATGGTGTGGATTATTCAAAGATCTTCTCACCATTGGCTAAAATAGGCTCTATATGGGTACTCATCTCCTTAGCCACCCATTTTAGTTGGTCCTTGCTTTAGTTTGATACAAAAATGTTTTTTTTCATGATGATCTTCAAGAGGAGGTGAGCATGGTTTGGTCGCTTTAGTAGTGTGGTGCAAGATTTTGGTTTGAAATAATGTAGTGTTGATCATTATGTCTTTAGCAGGATTCTTCACCTAGGAAAATCATCCTGGTAGTTTATGCTGATGCTATTGTTCTTAGTGGTAGTGAAGCACATGGAATTAGTAAGTTGAAACAAGGTGGAGAATCTCTTTGTCTCAACGAAAGTATGCTTTAGACATGTTAGATAAAATGGGGTTGTGGAGATCCAAGCTAATGGAAACTTATGGATTCCAATATGAAAATGATTGATAATCAGGGGAAGCCATTAGAAGACCTTGCAAGAAAACGGAGACTAGCAGGCAAGCTGATCTGTCTTATTATTACTAGGCCGGTCATCTTGTTTAGTTTTGGAGTCCTCGGTTAATTCATGTAGAATCCTACAACTACTCATTGAGATTGTGTTATGAGGGTGTTGAAGTATCTAAAGAGTGCTCATGGTTGTGAGTTGTTGTATAAGAAAAATGGAGACTTGTCCCTAGAAGGGTATTCAGATGTATATTGGGTAGGGCCTCTAATGGACAGAAAGTCTACTATAGGTTATTAAACCTTTTTGTGTAGGAACCTTGTTACTTGGAAGAGCAAGAAGCAAGAGTGTGGTATCTAGGAGTAGTGCTAAAGCTGAATACAAGGCAAGGCCCATGCTACCTATGAGTTAGTTTGGTTGAAGCATCTTCTTCAAAGATGAATGTTACAATCAATTAACCCATTAATTTGTGACAACCAAGTCACAACACATATTGCCTCCAACTTATTATTTCATGAAAGAGTTAAACATATTGAAATTGGTTGTCATTTTGTGAGAGAGAAAGTGGCAAGTGGAGATATTGTTACTCCTTGTATTACGTCAGAAGACCAAGTAGATGATATTTTTACTAAAAGTTTGGGCCATTCAAGGATGAATTATATTTGTAATAAACTAGAACTTTATGATATTGATATATATGTGCTCCAACTCGAGGGGGAGTGTTAGAATTAGTGACAAAGGCATACTTGTCTTTTTGTAGTTGTTATTTTCTCTTTTATATTTGTTGTACCTATCTAGGGGCATTGTTATAATTTAGACCGTTAATGAATGATAATACATACTGGGTCAACAATGAGGAGAGGATGTTTGACATAACCTTGTTGGTCTTCCCTTTCTTCTTCTCTCCCTCTCTTCTACCTCTTCTCAACTCCTCAACTTCTCTTCTTTGCTTTTTTTTTTTTTTTAATTTCACTTTACTAACACTTTTTCTGAATTTAGCACACAAACAGAGAAAAAGAAAAAGGAGGGAAGAAAAGGACAGAACTCCCAAACAATTCAACTCATCAAACTCAAAGCCTTTCAACCATTTAGCTTTGCACACTTGCCAAAATAGGAAAATGCACAAAAAAGAAGATATGGAATTCTAGGGATAATTCCAACACTAAAGATGAAAAATGCAAAAGGATGATAGAAATATGAAGATCCATCATAATCTTCTGCTAGTTTTGTAGTGATATGGGGTGGCCATATCCAACACTAACCCGTTTGTTGCTTCTGCACCTTGATATAGAACAATCTAAAGAATATATCATCTTTTCTCTTTTTCTAGAATTTAGGTGACCTTATTCTTATATAAATTTACAAGATGTTAACACAGTATGGTGGAAGAACATTTGCTTAGTTAGGTAGTAGTGGAAAATGGAATAAAGAACAAGCTGAAGTTAAAGTACTTGTTGATAAAGAAGTCAATGAAAT